AAGCCCAAATCAAGTTAAAATCAAAAGAAATCTAGAGATGAGGCCCACGAAAGCCTCTCCGCTTAAAGACGTTTCTTAACGCGCAGAAACAGGGTTCAAAGTTCTTGCAGTTTCTTCTTCTGTGAAGGAAACGAGTAATTTTGGAGGAGGTAGAAGAGGGAGTTGCCGTTGAGATCACCAGATGGCCAGCGCAGATGCGGAGGCGGTTGACTTCGAGCCGGAGGAGGATGACCTCATGGACGAGGACGGCGCTGGTGACGCATCTCCTCAGGCAGCCCCGCGCAAGCTCAAGTCCGCCATCACTGGTGGTGCTTCCGGTTCACTCTCTGCCCCCAAGAAGACCAAAGGTCGTGGCTTCCGTGAGGACGTTGCTGACCGCCAGAGCCGTCTTGCCTCCCGTGACTTCGAGTCACTTGGCTCTGACGGTGGTCCGGGACCTCAGCGATGTAAGTACCCTACTAAACCTAGCTTTCACGTCCTATATTTTATTCCTTTACGTCTATACTTTCCCATTTTCAGGCTTTCTCTTGTTTTCCTTTTATGGTTCAGATGTTATTATCTCTAGGGTTTTTAGGGGAATGAAAAGTTATGATTTTGTGGTTTTGGGGATATGGATTACAAAAAAAAAAAAAAAAAGTTATGAAATTTATGGAAATTGCAAATAAATATTTTGTTGTTCCAAAAGGGCACATATGGGTGAACTTCTTGTATATATAAAAGGGTTTCTGTTGCCATGCTTTAAAGGGTTCATGTTATATGAACTGTTCTGTTATCAGAATTCAGGTTGTAGATACTTCTCCACTTTCTCCTTACAACGTCAATTTAGTGTAACTTGTAAAGCATTTTAGGTAATGGTGATTCAGTACTAAAATAGATAAGATGTGCCTTAAGTTTTCCCACATGCTTCCCTTCTTCTTCTTCAATAAATTCTCCTGTTTTTAGTGAAAGAAGAAATTTACTTTCAGCTATTGAAGGATGGATCATTCTGGTCACTGGTGTACATGAGGAAGCACAAGAAGATGATTTGCACAATGCATTTGGTGAGTTTGGGGAGATTAAGAATCTACATTTGAACCTGGATCGCCGCACTGGATTTGTTAAGGTAGGCAAAAGTACTTAGCTGTTTGCAGATTTATTGTTCTTGTTGTCTATGCAGTGGTTCAAATATATGCACTATGTAATGATAGATTCTGCTTATTTAAACTATGTTTTGGCATAAAACATGAAGTTGCTGTTCTTTATTTAGATTATGTCATATGTTCAGGTTTTATGGTAAGTGATAAAAGTTCACAGTTTTCTCTTTTTTGGTTTGTGAGTGGAAAACTTGAAAAGGTGAGAGTTTTATTGGGCATGAAAAGGAGCAGTCTGTGCTTCTATTTACGTTTCCTGCTGTGTGGAATTTTTGAAAATTGGGTGAAGAATGACCTGGTTGGTCTTTTTGTAAATTCTGAGTTTTCAGTTGAATATGTTCTTTGAATTATTTTAACGGCATTGCTTATTGTTACAATTCTTCTAAATTTGTTTTAAGTCTTTTATATAATTTTTACTCCTTTTTTTTACTTCTTCATTGATAAGGAAGAAATAGGTGTCTATTTTTCCACAATGTTGACACGGAATCTTTCTTTTAAAATTTAAAGGGGTATGCACTGATTGAATACGAGAAGTTTGAAGAGGCAAAGAATGCAATATCTGCAATGGATGGAGCTGAACTTCTTACTCAAACTATCAATGTTGATTGGGCTTTTAGCAATGGACCCACTACTGGAGCCTTCAAAAAGAAGAACGCAAGGTCTGCCCCTAAAATAGCTTTTTATTTAACTTAGCATATGTGTTTATTATGTTATCTATGATATGTGGAGAAAAGATGTCTTGAAATTATGATAAGGGATTTCACTATTAACTGAAAGGTATCTAGGATGATGGAAATGTTTTGGGGGTCACTATCTATTTTCATTTGCAAATTTTATGCATAAAAATTGGCCCAGGGAAGTTATGCTTTGCATTAATGAAGGACTTTTGGTTTTCTACCATGTCCTTGGTAGAGTTCAAATTCAACAAAGTAATAGGAATTCCTCCAAGATTGTGTAGCATGGTATACTATAAGTATCTAATCCTTCCTGGATTAGTTACTTGTAAGCTAATGTGGACAGAATAGTGGTTACTTGAAACTTTGAGCTGGATCATGTTAGATTTTATCTGTGTATTTTTCATTGTTTGCGATACTGTTTGTGCAAATTGTGTGAAGCTCTTGCAACTAAGAAGATCTTCAAACTTTTGCAGATCTGGACGGACACATCGGTCCAGGAGTCCTAGGAGGAGATACTAAGGCATTGTTGTGTAACATTGTGGGGCTGGTTTTTCAGGAAGTTGGTCTGGTACTGTATTTTTAATAAGAGATTTAAGATTGATTGTTAATGATCCACCGGATTTTTGCATTTGTAACTGTTTGCTTGAGTGTCCCTCAATGATATGGTTTCTTAACTCCCAATGCTTACCTTTTATTAATATTGAAGTGCAGTTTACTTTTATTTATTTGATCTCTTGGAATGTCCTCTGACTGGCTTTTTTTTTTATGTCCCTTATGTTGAAGATACTAGTGTAATATTTTTCTTTCAATTTCCTTTCTCCTTTCAGAGAATTCTCCACTGTCATTATTATCACTTGATCATGGGCACCTGTGTAGACTTTTCACCTTTTAACAGCTGCTGCTTGTTATCTTTCGCAACTTGCCTAGGCTAAGAAAATGGTCCTCATTCAAACATGATACAATAATGTATCTCTGTTAATGGTTCAAGCTTCCATCATGTTGGGGCACTTGTTCTGTTTTGCAGCTCTCTTGGAATGTAGACGGGCTTTTCATGGGTTTGGCAAAGGGCCTGCGTTACGCCAGTAATGAGGATTGTAAGCAGTCTGTTTGCATGTCTCATACATTCGATAATTAAGATTGAAAATCATTGAGTTAGAGAATATACTCTGACATGAGCTAAACTAAAGGGGAAAAGACGTGGAGGAACAAGAATTTCATGCTTTCCCTTTGGTCCTAAGCTATCAATAAGAACTTATTTTTCTTGAATTATGAAATGCAGACGATGGATCTTCATGAATGAATTACAAGTCAAGGAATGATAACAAGAATTAGAGACAACTTAAGCCAGCACACAAGAATGTCATCATTGTGAAAAAGCGAAAGTAAATCTTGGTTTCAGAGAAAGAATTAACATAGAATGCCTGTCAGGAATCACAAGCAAAGTGTTTGAAAGCAAAGAATGTGGCTCCCCTCTGGCAGGGATGCTTAACGTTTTGTTTAAGCAAAGAATTTCAGTCCGGAATTGTAAGCAAAGTATTGGTTTTCGTCTTGTTAATCATAAGATTTTGTTTTAATATTATTAATGTTGGATTTAATTAAAGATTAAGCAAAGAATTTCTGTCTGGAATCGTAAGCGAAGTATTGGAAAGAAAAAAATGTGGCTCCATTAGGTCGGGATGTTCAAAGCTTTGTTTATTATTGTTCCCTCTTCGGAATCATTTTTCACTGATCTTAGGATTTGAATTCAAGATCTCTCACAAAGAAATTCATTCTTAAACATAGACTCTTCCGTTGGACAAAAACATATGATATCACATCACCTTCAGTCCCTGTCCAGCATATCATTACGCCATGCAAAGCTTCGGCCTTAGTTGCTCTTTCTAAGCTCTCCAAGTTTCCACTTTCCTTCCATCGTTACTGAAACCAACTAAGACCCTTCACTACCATTCTCAGAAAACCATTGTTCTTGCCTTCAGCCAAGCAGACCCTGAATTTAATCTTCCCCCTCTTCTTCTGGTTTCTTTCTTCTTTTTGTTTGTGAAAAAATGGATTGGAGTAGCATTTTGGGCAAATGCTTTGATTATCCAGTCGGGTACATTAAAGAACATTCAGATTACGTGCTTAGCTACGAAAGCAACGTCGACAATCTCCTGAAACAGGTTAGGAACCTGACAAATGCAAGGGAGAGAGTGCAACATGATGTGGACGCAGCCGTCCGAAATGCTGAAGAAATCCAAAGCCATGTCAGCAAATGGCTGGATGACGTTGATGACATCATTGAAAAGGTCAAGCACTTGTTGCCCGATGAAGACATACCGAAGAACAAGTGCTTTTTTGGCTGGTGTCCGAATCCCAAGTCCCGGTACAGCCTCGGCAAGAAAGCAGTGAGGGAAGCAAAGACTGTCAATGAACTCCTGCAACAAGGAAACGGATTCAGTAGAGTTTCCTATCGTGTTATTCCGGTCGAGATTCAGGCGCCGCCACCCAGAAGAAGTTACAGGGCTTTTGAATCGAGAATGTTGACTCTGAATGCAATTATGAATGCACTGACAGATGCTACTGTGGAGATTGTTGGAGTTTATGGCGTCCCTGGCGTAGGTAAGAGTACATTAGTCAAAGATGTGGCCAGAAAAGCCAAGGAAGAGAAGTTCAATGCGGTAGTTATGGCGGTTGTGGCTGGGATGCCAGAGCTGAGGAAGATTCAAGGCCAGATTGCAGATTATCTGGGGCTCAAATTTGATGACGAGACTGAAACCGGAAGAGCAAGCAGGCTGCGCCTGAGGGTGAAGAAGGAGGAGAGAATTCTTGTCATTTTGGATGATATTCAGACAACCTTTGATCTTGAGGAAGTGGGGATTCCAGTTGGGAATGATCACAGGGGATGCAAGGTAGTTCTGACCTCTAGAAACATCAGCATTCTGAATCAGATGGATGCTCAGAAGAATTTTGAAGTGAAGAGTTTACCAGAAGACGAAGCATGGGATTTATTCAAGCAGATGGCAGGGGAAGCTCTTGAAAGTCCCCAGTTGCAGTCAGTAGCTGCTGATTTGTGCAGGCAGTGTGGGGGGCTGCCAATTGCCATAGTAAACGTTGCAAGAGCCATGAGAAATAAGGATCCTTCTGAATGGGAAAATGCCTTGACAGAACTCAAAAGCCCTTCCCCGGGCAGGCCCTTCGATGCATCCTCAGCTGTAGAGTTCAGCTACAATCGTCTAGGCTCAGATGAGCTTAAATCAGCCTTCTTGCTTTGTGGTCTCATGCCTCCGGATGCTTCGGTTTTGGATTTGCTGAAGTATGGTATGGGATTGGGTTTATTCCGAGGCACCAATACCCTTGAAGAAGCGCGACAGAGATGGAATGCGTTGCTGGATAGCCTCAAATCCTTCTGTTTGCTGCTTGACAGTCATATCAGTACTGGTGATTTCACAATGCATGATATTGTTCGCAATGTTGCTGCTTCAATTGCATCCAGAGACCAACATGTGCTTTCTGTGAGGAATCAGGATGGAGTTAGAGGATGGCCTGATGCAGGCACCCTTAGAAAATGCACTGGTATCTCTCTATTTACTGATGATCTTATTAAGCTTCCTCCAGATCTAGAATATCCAAAACTTAAATTTTTTCAAGTCTACAACAAGGATCCTTCTTTGAAGGTTCCAGACAATTTTTTTGAGAGGAAGAGAGCATTAGAAGTTTTAGATTGGATTGGAATGCAGTTTCTATCATTGCCTTCATCATTTAGTCTCTTGGGAAACCTTCGAACATTGTCTTTGGAGTCATGCATGTTGAGGGATGTAGCTATGCCTTTTATTAGAGAGCTGAAGCAACTAGAAATCCTTAGCTTATACAAATCTGTCATAGAACAGCTGCCTGAAGAAATAGGACAACTAGCTCGGCTAAAGCTGTTGAATTTGCTAGATTGTTCCAAGCTGAAAGTGATTCCAAAGGATGTGATTTCGAACTTAGGTCAGCTAGAAGAACTGTATGTGGGAAACAGCTTTTATCAATGGGAGGCTGAGACTGGTAGACAGGACAGGCAAAGAACAGGCAATGCTAGCCTTGCTGAGTTGAAGCACTTGCCTAATCTGACTGCCTTGCACTTGCATATTCCTGATTCTCAGATTATGCCAAAGGACTTGTCCTTTGAGAAGTTGAAAAGACATAAGATCTCCATAGGAGACATATGGGATTGGTCTGGTAAGAAAGAAACCTCAACAACATTGAAGCTCAAACTCCATGAGGATATTCATCTGAATCATGGAATCAAACAGCTTTTGGTGAAAACTGAAGATCTGTATTTGGATGAACTGAAAGGTGTTAAGAATGTATTGTATGAATTAGATGGGCAAGGTTTTCAAAACTTAAAGCATCTCCATGTTCAAAATAGTATGGAGATTCAATACATCATTAACTCAAACGAAGTGGAAGGTGTTCCTCAAACTGCCTTTCCAGTGTTGGAGTCACTGTCTCTTCAGAGTTTGTCTAACTTGGAGAAGATATCTCCTAGCCAACTTAAGGTAGGGTCTTTCACGGAATTGAGGATCATAAAAGTGAAAGGCTGTGAGAAACTGAAGAATTTATTCTCACTCTCCATAGCCAGAGTCCTTTCCCAACTTCAAGAAATTGAAGTGGCTGATTGCAAGAGAATGGTAGAGATTATCAACAAGGGAAGAGGGAATGATGATATTGATGATAATGGAGCAAGAGATGAAGTTGAGTTCTCGCACTTACATTCATTGACTCTGCAATATCTACCAGAGCTTGTTAGCTTCTGCACAGAAGATGGTTTGGCTTCTACATCTCACTGGATGGTGTCTAACAAGAGCTTTTCAGGAGAAGAACTCAGTACCTCCAGGGCACTTTTCAACCAAAAGGTATTTACTAAGTTTCACAATCATTTTCAGTTCTATTAAGAATGAAAATCGGATTTCTTTTACATCTTTCCAGTCGTTTGAAGCTTAGACCTATAAGAATTAATCTTTGTTTAAATGAAAGATTCATGATTAGCTCATGAAATTGCAGGTCATGTTGCCCAACTTGGAGAAGTTGAATCTTTCTTCCATTAAAACCACAAAGATATGGAAAGAGCTTTCAGCAATGGCTGTGAGCATCCAGAATTTAACAAGCATAACAGTTGAGAGGTGTGAAAGGTTGAAATATTTGTTGCCATCCTCTGCAGTAAGCAGTCTGGTGCAACTCAGACAATTGAGCATAAGCAAATGCAGGGTTATGGAAGAGATCATATTCATGGAAGAAGTTCCAAGGGAGGAGAGAATGGATATAATTTTGTTCCCTAACCTGTATTCCCTCAAGATAAAAGACGTTCAGAATCTCACTAGATTTTGCTCTGGAAATCATGTTGAGTTTCCTTCATTGAAGCTATTACAGATTGAGAATTGTCCTAAATTAGAGACATTTGTCCACAAATCTTTGAGGAAAGACATGATAAAGAAAGGAGAATATCAGATTCCTGGTGGCATTCAACCTCTCTTCGATGAAAAGGTGAGTCATTTTCGATCTTCTTCTCCCTTCATTCCCTATATTACCAAGGTTAAATTAACCATAATATGTTTCTTGTTTCACAGGTTTCATTTCCCAGCTTGGAGTCGGTGAAAATCTCCAACTTGAAAAGCCTGAAAATGTTATGGAATAATCAACTAGCAGCAGGTTCCTTCTCTGAACTAAAAGATCTGGAAGTTGAATCCTGTGCTGATCTAAGGACAATTTTTCCATCTAATATGTTGAGGAGATTTTTGAAATTGGAAACATTGACTCTGAGTAAGTGTGATTCAGTACAAGTGGTCTTTGAGTTCCGAGGTCTAAATGTTGAGGGAACCTATCCTGCAGGCTCTCAGTTAAGGAAACTGTATTTACTCAGCCTACCACAACTCAAGCATATTTGGAAGAAAGATTCCAGTGGAATTCTCACATTCTATGATATAAATATCATTGATGTATATGAATGTGGTAGCCTGAAAAATCTGTTTCCAACATCAGTTGCCAGAGGTCTTCTGGAACTTGAAAGGCTTGTGATAGACTCGTGTGGACTGGAAGAAATTGTCGAACAGGAAAAAGGACTAGAAGCTGATGTTAACTTTGTGTTTCCTAAAGTATCCTTCCTGCAATTCTGGAATCTACCGAAACTCAGAAGTTTCTATCCAGGAGTGCATTCTGTAGAATGGCCAGCGTTGAGAAAATTGAAGGCATATCATTGTGGCGAAACAAAAATATTCACCTCAAAATCTTCCATTCCTGGGGAGAAACAGATTCTAGGATCTCTCTTCCTAGTTGAAAAGGTATAGGATACACAGATGTATTCATCCATTCAAAGTAACAGTTTAGCTTACAATTTATGCTGTTTCTTCTATTATTTTTCAGGTCATGCCAAACTTGGAGGAAGTATCACTAAATAGTGATGATATTGAGATGATACGTTCCCTCCATTATTCAGCAAACTTCTTCAGCAAAACTAAAGTTGTCCAGGTGCACTGCTATCATAATGAATCTGACAGTTTCCCCTTTGATTTCCTCCAAAACTTCTACAATCTAGAAAGGCTTGAAATTGGTTGTAGCTTATTCAAAGAGCTGTTCTCATATGGAGGGTATGAAGAGAAACTTGCCACGGCACTCTCAGGAATTAAGAGCTTAAAGCTCATTGCCCTCCCCAATGTAGTGCATGTTTGGCCTCAAGGCTCAAATATGGACTCAGTTTTTCCAAGAATTGAAGGCCTAGAAGTATGGGAATGCAATGGTTTGACCAATTTGGCACCATCATCAGCATCTTTCCATACATTGACAACTTTGGATATATGTAAATGCAAAGGGATGATGAATATAGTCACATCTTCCACTGCCAAAAGTCTGGTGCAGCTCATAAAAATGAGCATTAGAGAATGCAGCACTGTGACGGAGATAGTTGAAGATGAAGAAGAGGAAGAAGAAGAGAGAAAAGAAGAAATTGTTCTTAGCAGTTTGAAATGCTTAGAACTACATGATTTGCCAAGCCTTGAAATGTTCTGCTCAGGGAATTGTAACTGTCCATGTCTGGAAGATGTGACTGTGACTCAATGCCCCAAGTTTTGGGTATTCTCTTTGGGAGTGTTAAGCACACCAAATCTGCAGAAAGTATGGCTGACAGAAGCAAAGGATCAAAGTCTTTGGAAAGGAGACCTTAATGCCACCTTATACTTTCATTCAGATTACCCTAAATTGGTATAAGTCAGATGAAGCAAAAATCTGGAGGATTCCCACTTTTTCTTCTAAGAAATTTTACCCCTTTCATCCATTCTTCCATATTCAACAGTTCATCGTTCTTTCCTGGATGTAATGACCAGATTATTTTGTAAGAACCAAGTTAAGTTGGCTTCTATGGTTTGATCAACTTTATTTCATGTATATGAGAATATTGTTCTCCTTTTTTTTTTTTCTCCCTTCAGGAATTACATCTCATTTATGAGAAGACTGAGTTTGTTTGGATCATAATCAAAGAAAACCCAGAACGGTTTTGAGATTTCAGCGGCAGTCTAGATTTCCAGGGAGACATGAGCTGTGAAGTTACATATTAGTGTTAGCCCTTTGTATCAACAGCTACTTTGGCTAGCAGGATCACGAATGTCAAAAACATGATTGTTAAGAAAAGAGCAAGTTTTCTGCCAAAAAATAAAAAATAAAAGAGAGAAGCGCAAGTTTAAATGGTGCTTCCAAGTTGCTTATGCTGTGTCAAAATGAAAAACCTTCGATGAAGAACGTGTTAATACTAGCAAAAACACGCATAACTATTTCTAATACATAATATAGGAGCTAACTCTCTCAAATACATTTACTCACCTCACCTATACATGCTTACAACTCAAACTAAGACTTTCTACTTCAATTAAAAGAAGATTAGCATTATGTCGTTCTTTGTATTTTCTGAAACTTCGTTAATTGGGAACGTGTGAGCATTTAGTTGTACCATGTGAGCGTAATTTATGTGTACTACTAGGAATGGCAATTTTTCCCGTTCCTCGTGGGGCCTGTGAGGATCCATGCCACGAAAACGGGACGTGGAAGAATATTTTTTCCCGTGAGGCAGGGATATGGATCATTTTCTCTCTACAAAATTTTGTTAGGAATTTTCGACACCCTGCGGGAATTTTCATCCCCAAAAAAAAAAAAGTTTTTATTTTAAAATTAATTTATTCTTTAAACTCAAACTTAAACCCAAACCCAAACTTAAACCCAAACCCAAACTCAAATCTAATTATAATTAAACTTAACCCAATACTATCCAACCCAACCCATTCCCTTACATTTAACCCTAATCTTAATTTTATTTAATTCTCATCACTCACGGTCTCACTCTCAATCTCTTTGTTTGCGACTCACCCATCTCTCACCTCCATCTCACCTTCTCAGTTTCCTTTGCTATTGTTGCCGCTGAAGCTTACTGTCGAATCCATCTCCTCTGCTGTTGCTGAAGCCATCTACTCTATTGTTGCTGGATCCATCTGCTCTACTGTTGTTGCTGCTGCTGTTGAAGCCATCTACTCTGCTGTTGCCAGATCCATCTACTCTGTTGCTACTGCCAAAGACATCTGCTCTGTTGTTGTTTCTGCCGAAGCCATCTGCTCTGTTGCTGTTGTGGCCGGAGCCATCTACTCTGCTGCTGTTGTGGTCGGAGCCATCTGCTCTGCTGTTATGGCTGGAGTCATCTATTGTTGCTGTCGGAGCTATCTGCTGCTGTTGCCAGAGCCATCTGCTATTGCCGCAGGAGCCATCTGACATTAATTGGTGGGGAATGGAGATCCCCCTACAGGAAATGGGGACGGAAGGTAAAATCTGCCCTAGTCAAAAATTGTAAGTTTCTGCAATTAAGTAAAAAGAATACAGAAAATGCAGAACCAAAATATTGCAAAACAAGAGCTTTTCTGATGTGGAGCTCTCTTTTTAATTTCCAATTAAATGAGACATAAAAGTTGCTGAAAAATACATACATCATGTACATATCAGTTTTGCAAAAGAAAAAACTACCAGAAACTAGAGCTTAACTGCAAAAAAAAAAACTAAAGAAACAGTTACAAATTAAAAAAGCATAACTGCTGTTAACTGATATTTTCAACACTCCTCCTTGCTTTTTATATTTGTAACTCTAAGCATATCTCTGAACTCTTCAAATTTCTGCCTTGGAAGAGCCTTCATCAGAATATCTGCAACTTGAACTTTAGAATCACAATGTTGCAAAACAATTTCTTTGTCCTGAACTTAATTTCTAATAACATGATATTTAATCTTGATGTGTTTGGTCCTACCATGCTGCACTGGATTTTGAGCAATAGCAATTGCTGACATGTTATCTACCTTGAGTACACAAGGCTCAATTTGATCAAAACCAAGTTCTTCAAGCACCATTCTAAGCCAAATAGCATGATTTGCTACTGCCCCAGCTGCTAAATACTCAGCCTCAGCTGTGGACTGAGCTACAACATCCTGCTTCTTTCAATTCCAAGAGAAACTCCCTGAACCAAAGGAGAACACATAACCTATTGTGCTTATCATATCCTCCATAGAACCTGCCCAATCACTATCAGCATACCCCTGTAACCTTCCTTGTTGATTACTGTCAAACCACAAGCCAAGTTCATAGGTTCCTTTGATGTACCTAAGAACTCTCTTGGCTGCAACTAAATGAAGTTTACTAGGAGCTGACATAAACCTTGACAAATAGCTTGTTGCAAACATCAAATCAGGTCTTGTAGCAGTTAAATAAAGCAGGCTACCAATTAAACTTCGGTAGTAGGAGGAATCAACCTTGGTTTCTCGATCATCCTTGGAAAGCTTTTCATATTGAACCAGTGGAGTGGCAACTGGTTTACAACTCTCCATTTCAAACTTCTTCAAGATATCCAGTGCATACTTTCTTTGGCAAATGAAAATTCCCTTGCTCAATTGCTGAACTTCAAGTCTGAGAAAATACTTTGTCTCTCCCAAATTTTTCATTGCAAACTCCTGCATCATAACCTTCTTGAATTGTTCCATCAACTTCAAATCATTTCCAGTTAACAATAAGTCATCTACATAAAGTGACAAAATAAGCTGAGATTCATTGCTGCTGCCTTTCACATACAAAGTTGCTTCTTTTGTGCTCGTCCTGAATCCTTGACTCATCAAGTAGTCATCAATTCTGCAATACCATGCCCTTGGCGCCTGTTTTAGACCATACAAAGCCTTGTTAAGCTTATAAACATAGTCTTCCTTCCCCGCAATCTCCAACCCAGGTGGTTGTTCAACATAAATTTCCTCTTGTAGAACACCATTAAGGAAAGCTGATTTTACATCCATATGAAACAACTTCCAACCGAAATTAGCAGCTAATGCAATTAGAAGCCTTATTGTATCATGTCTTGCCACTGGAGCATAAGTCTGTTCATAATCAACCCTCGGCTGTTGAGCATACCTCTTCACAACAAGTCTGGCCTTATGTTTGTGTATAGAACCATCTGGATTTAGCTTAGTTCGAAACAGCCACTTCACTCCAATAGGCTTCTTATCATCTGGTTTTGGAATAAGACACCAAGTTTGATTTTTTTCAATCATAGACAGCTCCTCCTTCATAGCATCAATCCAAACCTGTTGTTTAGTTGCTTCTTTAAAACAATTAGGTTCTGCAGAAGCTAAATTACATTTTGCATAAATCTCAGCTAGTGACTTGGTTTTGAAAACCGGTGAATCATCATCAACTTTTGCAATTTCAGAACTGGAAACGACATTTGAACCAGCTTCACACTGCTTATTTGAATCTTTTTCTATCTTCCCTGCATCCCAATTCCAGTGTGCACTCTCATCAAAAACAACATCTTTATGCACATTTACCTTCTTGGATATAGGATCATACACCTTATAGCCTTTTGCTTGTGTTGCGTAGCCTATAAAGATCCCAATTTCTGCCTTCTCATCTAATTTTCCTCTTTTAGCTGCTGGAACATGATTATAACAAATTGAACCAAACACCTTCAAGTGATCAGCTGATGGTTTTTTATCATACCAAGCCTAAATAGGTGTCATGCCTTTTACTGCCTTTGTTGGTAGACCATTTAAGAGATAGACAGCTGTATAAACTGCTTCAGCCCAAAAACATTTAGGCAATTTCTTCTTTGCTAACATGCACCTTGCCATCTCCATAACAGTTCTATTTTTCCTCTCTGCAATGCCATTCTGCTGTGGAGTATAAGACACTGTCAATTGATGATCAACACCAGCTTCTTCACAAAACAAATTGAAATCATTGGAGGTATACTCCTTGCCATTATCTGATCTGAGCTTCTTAATTCTGCATCCACTTTGGTTTTCAACCAAAGCTTTGAATTTTTTGAACACAGGCAAGGCTTGCCCTTTGCTGCCAAGAAAGTATACCCATGTCATTCTTGTAAAGTCATTAATAAAGAGGATGAAATATCTATTTTGGCTGAGAGATGGTGTTCTCATAGGGCCACAAATATCCATATGCACCAGTTCAAGTTTCTGAGTTGCTCTAAAGGATTTATTCACAGGAAAAGGCAACTTATGCATCTTGCCTAATTGACAACTTTCACAAACACTGTCAGTTAACTGCAATTCTGGCAAATCTCGAACAAACTCATGTGTTTGCATAAATTTTAGGCCTTTGACATTGAAATGACCATATCTTTTATGCCATAAATCTGCATCCACAATTTTAGAAGTAGAAAAACATTGCTGCACCTTTTCCAAATCCAAAGGAAAGCTATTTTCTACCATTTTCACCCTAGCTATCTCATCACCAGTAGGGTCATAAATAAAACAAGAATCATCCACAAAAGATAGAGTGTATCCCTTTTTCATCATTTGTGCAACATAAAGCAAATTTTTGGCTCAAGCTAGGAATAAATAGGACATCAGTAATTTGCTTTGTACCTGTTTTAGTTTGAATAACAGCAGTACCTTTCCCTTGTGATCTCACCACAGTACCATTTCCTAACTTGACATTTGTAATAACTTATTTGTCCATTTCAATGAAGAAATTTTCATCCCGAGCCATATGATTAGTGCATCCACTATCAACAAACCAGCTACTAGATGGCAGAGATGAACCTTGTGACATTGTGAACAAGTAGTCCTCCTTGCACTGATCTTTAGCATAATTAACTTGCTGTTGTTGCTTTGGTCTGTACTGAGCTTGCTGATGTTGTGTTTGATGCTGTCGTTGTTGCTTAGCCCTGCAATTCTTCTCAAAATGGCCATACTTTTTACAAAATCTGCACTGAATCTGTGATTTGCCTTTGAACCAACAATCTTTTTCTTCATGGTTTGTTTTTCGACAATGACAACATGGAGGAAACCTCCCTTTTCTGCTTTGCTGATGCTGTTGATATGCTTGGTTAAAACCCATGGTCTTATTGCTTTCAGAACTAGTGGCTGGTTGTTTGCCTTTTTACCTTGCAAGGAAGGCTCCTTCTGTAGTTTCATCAGTTTTCATAACCAGCCTTTGCTCATGAGCTTGAAGCTTGCTTATAAGCTCAGTGATGGTTAGCTCTTTAAGGTCACAAGATTCCTCTATGGCAGAAATCTTAGACTCAAATTTATCTGGTACACTAACAATAATCTTTTCCACCACCCTTCGATCTGGAAATTCCTCACCATGAAGTCTGATTCGGTTGACAACATCCATCAATTTATTTGTATATTGATGGACTGTCTCTGTCTCCTGCATTTTCAGCATTTCAAATTGTCTTTTGAGGGTTACAATCTTGTTACCTTTAACCCAAGAACTACCATCAAACTCTTTCTTAAGAGTATCCCATGCTTCTTGTGCTGCTTATGCTCCCATGATCCTTGAGAAAATATCATCTGTTATAGCACTGTGAATATATGAGAGGGCTTTGTATGAAGCTTGAACATAGTTAGCATGTTGCTTCATTTGGGCTACAGTTGGATTGTTTGGCAGCATAGAAGGATGAAACCCATCTTCTACAGATTCCCACACACCATTACCTTTTAGAAAGGCCTTCATTTTGATAGTCCAAACACTGTAATTTTCTCCTGTGAACATAGGAGGATTAGAAAGTGTTGAAGAATTGTTTGAAGACATGGCTGTGTTTTTTTTGTTTACACAGCTTCTCTCCCTCACTAGCACTCGTGTTTGCTCTCTCTCACCAGAATCTAATTTGTTTTGCTCTCACAGGCCCCTCAAGACGATTAAGCTTTGATACCAATTGTAAGTTTCTGCAATTAAGTAAAAAGAATACAGAAAATGCAGAACCAAAATATTGCAGAACAAGAGCTTCTCTGAT